GCCGCTTGGAAAACTGAGCTTTTTGCATACGTTATTTCTCGAGAACGAAGAGCGCCCCAGCCAAAAAAACCCCAGAGCAATGTTTCTGAGGTACAACGAAGCCTACATGCCAAAATTCAGCTATTTTTGAAGACTTTCAAAATGGCCAAAAAATCTAGGGGACGTTCTTGCACGCGGCCTTTCAATTGTGTGAAGTAAGCAGACCAAGATCTCCCCATCATGAAGTTTAATCTTTTCAACTCTCCCAGACAAATTTATCTAACACAGACTCACAATCCTATGTGAATACACAAATTAAAGTTTATGTTCCAGTCTAACCACAGGAAATTCAGTTCCAAAAAACAATTTACTTGACCATTGTTGACTGTCTACTTTCAGTGCACAAAGAATACTGTAAAATTAATTTCCTAAACTTTGGACCTGCATAACACACACGCACGCACGCACGCACGCACGCACGCACGCACGCACGCACGCACGCACGCACGCACGCACACACACACACAAAACTCCTCCCACAAAATAGGTCCTTTGCAGCTGGGCCATCATGTGACCTACTTTTCATAAGAATGTATGTTGAAAATATCAAAATGGCCAAGTTTGACGCCCCTGCCTATAAAGAATGAGATTTTATGATGGTCTGAATTTCTAAAAAATTAAGATTATTTTGTATGAAGGCTGTTCACACTCTCTCAGGCTACACCTTTTGCTTTTGTCAGGCCTAATTTTGCTGCACTCAGACTACAAAATCAGGCCATAGTTAGGCTAGCATAAGGCCTGAGAATTTCATAAGGACAGGACTGTTTTGCCATTGGTTTTCTGAAATGGTAGTAGCAATTTATTAGACAAGGCTGAGCCAGATATTGTGATCCGCTTGCTGCTAAAAAATCCCAATAATCTGTAAAAACTGAATTTAAAAATAATAATTATTGATAATATTACAGTTATTAACAGAGCTGGATGCTCAATCTGAAGCTGAAAAATATCAGACTTAAAGCAGCAAACTTATAGCCTCCTAAACAGATGCTCTTTGGGCTCGTCATGCAATCTTCTTCCCCCACAAATGTCTGCTGAAACAAATGGCACTTTCCTTTCCCTTTAATATTGTAAAGGTCAGCTGGAGATCACATGGGGATTACTTTAGAACCTATTGGCGCTGGGTCATTGTTTAATACAAAGCCAATCATAAACTGAAGAGTATCCCTTGGCGCAATAACTAGAAATAAATTAAGCTTTCTACTGTCACATGTTACATATTTGAAATCAACATTTTACAATAACTGTCTAATTTCTTGAGCGCTGATTGGCTTATTTTTATAATCAATAAGAGTACAAAGGGATAAAATTTTAATTTATGCAAGCTTTCAAGTTCAACTTTCAGCTGTCAAACTGTCAACTTTTTAACCAATGAGATTTTATGGACTTTTTTAAGTAGCCAATCAAAAAGTGAGAAAAGCTATTGACAATGTTCACATCATTTTGAATAAAATTCACTTTATCTTTGTTTATGGCAACTTTACTGTGCCTTTTCCCCTCATTTATTCCCGGCATATGACCATTTTTGGTCTTATTGTAAAAAACAAATTGACATCAGTTTTTTATGCGTCTAGGGAGGTGCGGTGGCCTCATGGTTAGTGTGCTCGTCTCCGGATCGAGCAGTCTGGGTTCGAGCCCTGGCCGGGGACATTGTGTTGTGTTCTTGGGCAAGACCCTTTACTCTCACAGTGCCTCCCTCCACCCAGGTGTATAAATGGGTACTGGCGAACTTAATGCTGGGGGTAACCCTGCGATGGACTAGCATCCCATCCANGGGGGGAGTAGAAATACTCCTAGTCGCTTCATGCTACAGAAACCAGGATAAGCTCCGGCCTGATGGGCCACTTGGCCCATATGCAGACTTTACCTACCTTTTTTATGCATCTGTCCTCTTATTGATGATAAATTTCGCCATAACATTGTCAAAGTTTACTGTGGAACCACTTTGACATTGTTATGATGCAATTTATCATCAATAGCAGGACAGTCACATTAAAAACTGACATTACTTTGTTAAACTGACAGTAAGTATTTACCAAGTAATTANGGGCAGTTGCAACTTCAATCCTCGTCGCCAGATATCACGTTCCACAACCGATGGAACTAGATTATTGCAATGAACGGATACGACACACGAATCCAATCTACAAGTCCGCCATGCTGCTTTAATAATCAACTTCTCAACTTACATTGCGCGTTTAAGTATATTATGTATGATGCACCGTAATGTACCTTACAAACACTACACTGGCGAACTTAATGCTGGGGGTAACCCTGCGATGGACTAGCATCCCATCCAGGGGGGAGTAGAAATACTCCTAGTCGCTTCATGCTACAGAAACCGGGATAAGCTCCGGCCTGATGGGCCACTTGGCTTGCATGCAGACTTTACCTACCTAAAGGAAAATTAAAGCAATGGAAAACACATTGTTTTTAGTGCAGAGTGCACTATCGGGATGGTTTGGGGGTTGATGTCCGCTAAAGTGCTATGCCAATATGGCACTATGGAAATGAGGTGTGAACTTTAATGTTTGTTTATTAATTAATTTCAATTAATTAATTAGGCTTGCTGGAAGGGGGGAAGGTACTTGTAAACACTACGTAAACTGAGTGGGTATATGTACCTACACTACTTCTTTGCTCGCTTCAAAAAGATTTATATTTGTTTCAGAAAACCTCTTGCTCTCCTTGTGGTACTTTTCTCTTTAGAAGAAAACGAATATCTGTTCTAAACGCATGCACGGATTAATAAGCGTTAATGTCAACTACATATCAAGTGGAAAATACATTTCATACAAGATCACACACTAACGTTGAGCGCTTTTCCTTGTGGTAGAACCCAAACAAGTCATACGCATGTGTTCTAGCATCGATACAAGAATGCTACTGTGACTATGTGTCTTTTGGAATTACATCTACCTTAGTTAAAAAAATGTCATGCTGTAGAATGTTGTGAGCTGTGTAACCGCTCCTCCAGTAGTTTTCCAGTAGTTCGGTTGGATGAAACACGTTGTCAGTCACTTGAATTAAAATAGAGTTGCGTTCTCGAGTTTTGGCTGGTTTATTGGCTCTAGAATATTACNAATGCTGGGGGTAACCCTGCGATGGACTAGCATCCCATCCAGGGGGGAGTAGAAATACTCCTAGTCGCTTCATGCTACAGAAACCGGGATAAGCTCTGGCCTGATGGGCCACTTGGTTCACATGCAGACTTTACCTATGCTCTTTTAGAGAGAACAAGCATTTATTTCACTGTCAAGCTTGGCCTGTTAAGGAAATCTCTTGATGTTGTGCATGTGCCCCCACTTGTGTGCATTTGCCAATGATGCAAGAGTGGTGTGCATTAGTGATGTGTAATGTAGTTGTCAGGAATCACCTTGAATCCAACTTTTGACACATGATGTCATCAATCCCAACAAAGCCTGACATTGCCTCCATGGTATTGAGCCAGTCCCCAAGTATTTACTTCATTTTGGACCTGTCTATGTGGGTAAGAGTTGTTCCTGCCCCATCCTCCAGCCATTTTTACTCAGGGTTTACATGGCAAACCTTTTCCAAGTTGGCAAAGCTAAAACATTAGCTCTCTTTGTTTTGTGCATCCTCTGTCATACATGTTATGACCAATGCCTGGCAGGTGAGGCATGTTTATGTGGCAAAAAGTTGGCCTGCACTTAATGTCACCTTACAGTCTACAAATGTGAGCAACTGCCCACTGAGGATCACCCTCCCCCAGAGCCAATTTTGTGATTTCTTGAATGTGTAAATGAGTTACTGTCATTCATAAAGAAATGTATGAAAAGTTCTTAACTTACACGTATTGTTCAGACATGGAGGATTCACATACAGAGATTTTGTCTCTCAAAGAAGACAAAGGCACTGCTTTTTTTGGAGTTTATGATGGTCATGGAGGTAGGTGCTACTATAACAGTAGATGTATCATTATTCTTGCACTGACACTCACTGTAGCGATGACTAGAACAACAGACAATATCTAGTACAGTGAGTACTTATTAACCCTCTTTTACAACCTTTTTGTTTAGCCAACACTTCGTTGCTTCTTGGTCTTTGTCATTTACCAGCAGAAATGAAAGATAATGAAATATGCAGTTTAAATGCTCTATTTCTGTATCTTTTATTGTTAGGTGCTAGGGTGGCACAGTATTGTGGCAGATGTGTCCACACAAAGATCACCAGTCATCCTGCTTGGGGTAAGGCAGATTATCCTAAAGCTTTACTTAATATTTCTTAGTATAATTAGGTCTTACTCCTTCTTAAAGTGTAGCATGATGTGTCACCTATCTTGTAGGCCCTTTCACTTTCTCGTTTTTTTAATTTATATTTTTTTATATTTTGTTCGCAGCAAAGGGAAACATATCAGAAGCAATAAAAGGAGGTTTCTTGTCATGCGATATAGACATGCAGAAAGGTATGTGTGTAAGGAAATTACCCAGCAGTAATTTACAACTCCAGTAGAATGGTAGCCCGCATCTCAGAAAAAGTCCCTTGCCCTAGAAAACAGCTTCTTTCCTCCTCTCATTTTAAACTCCCACTTGTAAGTATTATCTTTCAAAATATGTAGCACCAGAAAGATTAAATTCTCGCTTATTAATTCCAAGGTAATGTTTAGATAAATCACCAGGCTGTAGATTAGTGTAACAAATAAACCAACTGCACTACCTATTAGGTAGTAATTCACCTGGCCCCAGTTGTTCAAAGGTTGGATACCACTATCCACGGTATAAATCATTATCCAATTGATAAGTGTTGGCAAAACGACCTATGTATACTATCCATTGGACAGTGATTTATCCAGTGGATAGTGTTATAAATCACCATCCACTGGGTAGTGTAGTTTGTTTTGCCTGCACTTACCCCAGTATCCATTGGATAGTTATTTGTATAGTGGATAGAATTATTCACTCTTTCAACGATTGGGACTTGATGGATAGCACTATCCAAACCTTTATCAGCTGAGGCTAGATGGATAACTGTGCATCAATATTAGGTAGGCAGCTGTCAGTGAGGTTGGGAGAGGTAAAACGCATGGTCACTCTGTCAGAAATTGTCCAGGGAACAAAGAAAGTCATTTGATAGTCATTTGATGGGGGGCTACTGGATTTTGCAGTTGGGTCAGTGGATTCTACCTATTCTACACTCTGTGCTTAATGATTGCGTAATGGGAAACAAGTTTTTGTTAGGGTGCCCGTAACCCCAAAAATTTTTTTTGCTAAAATGAATCCACTTGTTATTCAAAGCATTTGGGTGAAAAAATTTTTGAATTTGGTTGAATCCTCGATTTTTTATGCCCTTTCAAAGTCACGCTTGAAGTGTTGCACAACCGCGTTTTAGGGAGTCTGGGGNGGGGGGGGGGGGCGGTTGCTAATGACATTTACCCAGGAACCAAACACAATGGCGCCTTAGTCAGCTCTCTGTATTTGCTCGAGAAAATGAAAAACAAAACTAATCATTCCAATATATTTTGGGACTAAAACAGCCAAGTTTTTCATCACTGGAGCCAGAGTTAAGTTTCAATTCGGAAGAATCCGAAATAAACTTCGATCGAGCACGTTCGACAACTGTGAACTCACTGCTTAGAGCTTTGAGAGCAATTTGCAATATTTCAAGCAACAACGGGGAAGACTTCTTTGTGGACGAGCTGCTTGTATATTAGAAATGGAAAGCTAGATACGAAGTGGAGGAGCAGGCAAACGAAAAGCAGTAAAGAAAACTCAAGCACTGCTTTGGATGGTAATTTCGTCACCTAAACACAAAATTCCCACACATGTTTATAGCCCGTTTACATTTGTCCCTAGCGAGAATGTATTTGTCAAGGTATGGTTGTTCTATTAAATCCAGTATGTGTTTTACTTTCTGGAATACTTCATGTTTATAAGAGTGACGTAAGTGTTGCAGTTTTCGAAACTTGATGGCCTCCAAAACACTGGCTTCAATCGATTGAAAATCGTAGAATTGTTTGGACCTGTATTTTTGAAGCTGCGGGAAGCAAAGGCGGAAGGAAACATTTCATACAATTACCGATTTCACATTGTCACATGTTTTAAGTCGTAACTCCAAATAACCAATGTAAATTTTTCTCAAAGTTTGCAGTGAAATTTATTGGATAAGCGAAAAGGATGTGTTCCCTGAGGGGTCCACAGATAATGTTACGCAGTCGTATTTTCGACACTATTGTACAGAATATGAATACGAACTATTACACAGAATGTTTGTCGCACTGCTGATTTCCAAAGCTTTGAAAAACTCTATGAGTCTAACAGTTTTGTTATCATGTAATTCTTAAGGATTAGTCTTTGACTTTTAGCTAAATCAAATAGGAAATAAGCGTTGGTTGTTGGCGTACAGTTGCGACGTACATCTACATATCAGTACATCGGTCGTAACGCTTCTTGATTAATCACACAACTTTGCCGTCTATGTTATAAATACTGCGGGACTGAAAGATATAGTTTGTCGGTAGTACTTCTACAAATTGCTGGTTGGTTTTAAGCAGAAAATTTTGAAAATAGCTTTTGAAAGTCTGCAGAACAAACTTCAGTGAGAGTTCTTCAATGGTTCTCATGGACTCAGTTCGCTTGTTTCGGTTCAACAAAATCAACCACCGTTTATGTCTTTATTGTAGCATTGACTGCTCATCGTCAGTAAATTGTACAGTATATCTTTCTTTATATCTGGGATATTGCTGCAACAGCCGATAGCACTTCTGGAAGGCATTTCTGAGCACTTTTCGAATGAGTACTGCACCATCCTGAAGGAAATGAGAGGACGTGAGATATTCAACCTTCCTGGGTAGAGGTCAGAACAGCCACTGGACCCATTCTCCTCAAACTTGGTTGCGAAACAAAATGGCGGTGTTTTAGAGCTATTTTTGAGATTTCGTCAGGGCACAGAAAATCGAGGATTCAGCCGAATCCAAAATTTTTTTCACAGAAGTATTTCAAATAACAAGTAGATTCATTTTAGCGAAAAAAAAAATTGGGGGTTAGTTGCACTTTAACTATTTGACTGTGCAAGTGAGAAAATTTGGAGGGCCTAGTGAAAATGACAGATTTATTTAGTACATCTTTGTTACTTGTCTGAAGCTTGAACATTGCCTTTCTTTTTGCTTTACCCTGAGCAAGCTGGGTCCGTTTCTTGACAGATTTTTAGCTGAATATTGGGGCTATATTGTTGCCATTAATACCACTACCACAGAGTTTTACCTTTAATTAAAGCATATTGATTTATTTTGAAAAACTTACAATAGACAATAGTACTAAACAATGAATTTAATTTGGTTGTTAATTTTAGATGAACAGATGAAAGATGAAATGGCTGGAACAACTGCGATAGTAATAATTCTCAAAAATAACAAAATTTATTGTGTAAGAATCTCATTTGTGCTCATGTTACCTAATTAATCGTATTTAGTTATTTTATGTACCCAGTGTGCTTACAGTAATTTATGTCTGTAGTACTTGATGATGTGTGCTTTGTTGAGACTGCCATAAGAAAGACTCTCTTTAAAGTGCCTATGAAGTAAAAAATAATTAATTCCTGTGTATTTGAAAGGTTTTTCAAAGTAAAGCAGAATGGCTTTTTCCTTTTTGGAATACCTTTTTTGGTTTTAGAGATATTCCCGTTTTTGTATTATGCAAATGAGGAAAGTGATGACGTCATAGGTGGTTCCACCAAAACAGCACAACACTCAATCAGGGCTCAAAAAAAGTGCTGTCCCATTGCCCCGGACAAGTAGATTTTCCTTCTGGGCAAGTAACTTTACATTCTCACTTGCCCAATGGGCAAGAGACCAAGCAAGTCAGCCGCCAACTAAATCATTAAAAGGGCAAACTAAGACTTGCCATGGGCAAGCAAAACTTGAGAGATACTTGTCCCAAGGGCAAGTTGGAATTCAAGTTTTTTTCAAGCCCTGTCAATCGAGAATTACTCTAGAAATATTAAAGCAGTGTACTTTAAACTTGGCACCAGGAATGTAAATCACAAAAGAAACATAGTGACACCTGTCGTGCCATTGCCATAACAACAATTATGCCGCTGGTTCTGTCTTAATGAAGACTAAAATTCCCAGATTTTATCTTAAACAAGGATCATCTACTCCCACCAATCTAATGGGGAGAGTTAAGACAATATGGGAACCATGCGTGTTATGAGCAAGACCCTCTGTTCCACTTGAAAATGTTGCAAATGGGGATATTTGGTTTTTCACAGAAAGAATCTGGAGCCAAGAGTGTTGCCATGGCAACAGCATAGTAGGTGTCATTCTCTTTCTTTTGTGATGTACATTTCTGGTGCCAAGTTTGAAGAACACAGTTTTAATATTTCTAGAGTTATTCTCAATTGAGTGTTGTGCTGTTTTAGAGGAACCACCTATGACGTCATCACTTTCCTTACAAAAACGCAAATATCTCTTAAATGAAAAAAGATATTCCAAAAAGGAAAATGCCATTCCTCTTTACTTTGAAAAGCCTTTCAAATAAGCAGGAATTATTTTTTACTTCATAGGCACTTTAAACCAGTAGACTTATGTTTTTGCTGTGTACTTCTTCAGAGCTGTCTCTTGTAATTTTAAACATGCATTGTTTGTCTATGTTGTTTTTATCAGGGAAATGTTGGTGACTCTAGAGCAATTGCATCAAAGAAAGGAGCAGTAGAACAGTTGTCCTATGATCATAAACCCAGCAATGATGGTAGTACTGAATACTATAAAACGTTTTTTCTAGGCTGAAATCTTCCTAGATACTTCAATTATTTTTCTTGTGTAAAAATTTAACAAAACTCACAATCAATCCTTGGCTGTGATGTGCAGGTGTGGATTGCAGACATTGAAAAAGATTTACCCAAGTAATTTTGTGAAACTTGGAATTGTTATAACGTTATTTGTTATGACATGAAGTCCAAGAACAAGGGATCCATTTCTCTTGCAACATGAACTTGTAGATATTTTAAACTTATTATTGACTTAGAGAAAGGTTATAATGGAACACTGATATTACTGTTTGTTAGTAGTCTGAAATGACTTTACAGTGTGCTTTGCTCACCTTATTGGAGAAGGCTTATGATGGTTATGAGCTTCTTTTCTCTTTAAGATGAAACAAGAAGAATCATTGCTGCTGGTGGCTGGGTAGAGTTTAACAGAGTAAATGGTATGTAGACAATTTAATGACTGCTCAAAAAAGTCATAATTACGTGTATTTCTTTTGATAGGGTGTGAAATGCATTGGCATAATGGTGAAGTCTACTTTGCTGTACCATTTGCTATCTACACCAAAGTGTTACAAATGGGCACCAATGAACTGGTAGCATAACCCTGACAAAGTTTAAGGGGTGGGGGGTAGCCAGGGGCCAACTAGAATCCCATCCAGGGTGAGTTGCGATGACAGAGACTGGTCTTGTGCTATCCTTCATGTGCCACTAAACTTATGAGGCTTACCATTATGTATAATAGGAAAGTTTGTTTCTTGTTTCCTTCAGGTAACTTAGCCTTATCCCGGGCACTTGGAGATTTCTGCTTCAAAAAGAACGATAAGAAGTCTGCAGAGGAACAGATTGTTACAGGTATCAACATCACTTACTAAACAATCAGTTTCAGCAGTGTTTATGGGGTTTCTTCAATTATTTATTTAATAGTTACTTGTGCTGTTGTTCACCTGAGCATGCAAGAGAATTGCTTGGTATTTTTTTAGTATTTATATTGGGTTATGACAAATTTTTGGGATTATATTGACCATGCTGTTGTAAATTATCAAGACAAAGGTTTGCTAAGGACCAACAAAACAGAAGACCAAGACAATTCCACTATCATGTAGAACTGACGTTTCAACCCTTTTACATTTAAACATTTGTTAGCAAAATTGTAGACGTGTTACTACATTTACAAAAACTTGAATGCCTGTGTAATTTATAAGGATGGTTGTTTTTTATTTACTTTAGCTATGCCTGATGTTATAACGAAAGATGTTACTCCAGATCACGAGTTTATAGTATTAGCCTGTGATGGTGAGTCCTAAATAACAATAATACTTGTTATAAGCCAAGTGTAAGGGCCACACTGTGAGAATATTGCCAGGTATGGTCTGACAAAATTAGGTCTGTACAAGAAAGACCAAGGGTGACATTCTCCCAGGATTGTCCCAGGCTAGTGAGAATTAAGAACTAAAGAAGTTTATTATCTTGCTCTAATAATCATCACATGTTTTTTGCTAGCAATCCAGACAATAACAGCGGCCATAAAATAACATTAATGTCAAAGATATAATAGTGTGGTGCCATTGTCGACCAGTCACACTGTGTTGTATCTTAAACTGGTCTTGTCTTGTATTAAGCAAGTTTAATGCAGGAATTGATCATCTGAACCTCACCTGGTGCATTCTAGCCCCTTTGTGTTTTGCAGTTTACAGCTGAGCTTGTTGACATAGTTGCAGCTAGTTTTTCATTTTGGGCTCTAATCACAACTCGGAGCTTATTACACCTGTAGATGATTTATAGTGTGGTCAGCACAGCTTTACTGACAACCTTGTCCTATGAGACAGTGGGATGGCACAGAAGTGTAGGGATCACTGGTTAATCAAGCAGCTTCAAATGTGGCTGTGAAGTGTGTCTATCTTTTTCAAGTAGTATTAGTGTGGCACAGACTAAGTCAGTAATTGTGATACATGTTAGCAGAGATACTTAAATTCAAGAAGCTGATTTCTTTGGGCCTTGTGAGTCACTTTTCCCTAGATGGTCAAACCAGGCAGGCGATTCAATCGTTCTCACGGCAGGTCAATTTGCCTGGTACCTGACCCTTAATGAAACCCCTGACTGTGAGACCACATGGCTAATTAGTATGTTAGTGTGGCCTGTTAGTGGTTGTCATTCAATTTATGACGAGATTCATATTTTTAGTATGTTTGATTTGTTTACAGGTATCTGGGATGTTTTGTCCAATCAAGAAGTGGTAGACTTTGTGAGAACACGAATAGCTCAAAGAATGGAACCTGAACAGGTATGTAAACAAACTGAAATCAACACTGATATTCTCCTCATGATAACACTACATTTTCAAGCAGACAGGTAATGAGAATTAACAAAATTGTCAACAAGGGACATTGTCTGACTTGTAACACCAAGGTCTCAGAAAACTGAAACTATGAATATTTTTTTTATTTTAAAGCTTTGATTTAACAAGCATGTACTAAATCCACAGTTAGAGGTTAGCGTGTAATAGTTGTCAGTGGTTTGGTGGTTTATATCCTAGCTTTTTAAGGGTGGTCAGGGCTGTTGGAGTGTCCTTGTACTAGCAAAGTTAGCTGTCATCTTATTTTCCTTGTTGTTATTTTTGTTTTTGTTTAGATCTGTGAAGAGCTTCTCACAAGATGTCTTGCCCCTGACTGTCAAATGGGTGGACTGGGTTGCGATAACATGACAGTGATTATTGTGTGTTTTCTTCAAGGAGGAACTTATGAAGAACTCTGCGAGAAGTGTTCAGGACCAAGTGACTCTAGTTCATATAATGGCAATAATTCCCCACCTTTTTATTCTTGACTTTGAAGTCAGCGTGGATTCTTCAGTTTCTATTGTCAGTGTGATCATTTTAGCATCAAAAACAGCGTGTCGTTGGCGTTTCAAGCATGTTTTAGAATGGAGGAGATAAACGGAGGAGGCCAGCACTTCAGAAACTGGAAACATACAAGTTGTTCAGGGTTTTGACTGCCCGAGAAAACATGAACAAAAACGATAGTCTAGGATGTCCAACATTGGGCAGAGTTAACTGTACACAAATGGAATTTCAAGCCCTTGTGTGTTTCCAGGATTTTTTTATTGTTATTTTAAGGGGATAAATTTGCTAAAGAATAGAGAATTGACATTTCGTAGTTTACATTGGACCATCATTGATGTTCTTGGACCTGAATTTGATTCCTGGGTTCTTCCTTGGTCACACTTTGGAGATGGTTATATCACAAGCCAATTAGCTTGGACAGCTTGGCTAATCCTGTGTGGCCATGAGATGGGAAGATGTGTGGAAGAAATCAGTTGATTCTGCATATTGATACAAGGTGAATTTTCAACACATCCGTTGCACTGTACACTATACTCGGCACGACAGACCAGTTCTTTGTTCAGTTCCAAGACAATCCTTCAGTTCACAAGGAATTGGATATCAACTTGGAACCAATTCAGACCACTTGGTTACAGTTCATCTGCAAAGTCAGAGCCTTCAAAAAAAGACAAACTTGTGTTTCAGAGGTTGAGGAAAAAATTTGCAAATAAATTAGTTACAGGACCTCACTGCATGAAGTCATGAATCAGCAATTCTTAGTGCAATTTTTATTGTTTTTTTTAGGTCAAACTTCTGGCTTTGGGATCATTTTTGTTGATAATCATTTGGTCACCTTTTGGCAATCATTTTGTGGAGAGTAATTTTGCAGCATGTCTTTGTTTTTCCTGCTTGTAACTCGTGCGTAGCATTAAAACTGCACTTGGTGTGATCACTTAAGGTGGCTCCCTAGAGTATTTACGAACACACTCCCTATAGTGCGCAAGTTAGAAAAGGAAACTTAGTTAATTTCTCTTAAAGTTTTCCCTGTAGAGATTTGCTAGTATGGGTACTGTTAACATAAGGCCTATTTTTTGGTTGCCAATTTTTGGATTAAGACCGTTACCATGGCAACATCTCATCTTATGACAGGCATATATATTCCTCATTTTGGCATAAACTCCTTAATATTTGTACTTTCGTTCGGTGGAATTTTTTCATATTTTGCACATCATGGAAATGATATTGCCTGACATTTTGAATAAGTAAAAAGTAAAGGTTGTTCAGACAGTTTTTCCAATATTCTGCAAATGGTCATTCTTCTAAGTATATTAGATTAGCTCAGACAGATTTTAGCAAAAATAGAATATTTTTTAGGAATTGTATGTGTTTATAACTGAGCCAAATTTCAAAAAAAATTCACCGAAGGAAACGCGAGAAAATTCACTGTGAGTTTTGCGTTTTGTGCTCCATGTTGACGTCATAAATATCTAAAAACACTGACGTTTTCCTTTGAGTGCATGCAGATTACTTGAGCTTTCCTCCTCAACGCGCGTGCGATCGTAAAACTATAGGGAGCCACCTTAAACAGTTAACCCTTTCAGTTACAACTTGCAAAAATGGTTGAAATCTAAATAATTTCTCCATAAGATATCAATACAATGTCAAGACGACAGGTAAGGAGAATGAAAGCATGGCAGACATCTGTGACCACATTTAAATAGATTTTGAATTTTTATTTGTACTCCAGAAACATTTGCAACATGTTAACTAAGCAAATAATTAACAGTGCAACTCTCACAGGGACAATCTCTTTGATTGGGCCGAGTGATCTAAAATCTCTAATTCCTTGTCTCCAGCCATCATTTGCCACTTGCATGGTAAGAAACTTGCGGTGAGTGTCATCTCGCAGTCGCTTGTGGTACTGTTACTGGGGACAAAAGAAATGCTCCCTTTAATAAGACTTAGTGTCTGTGAGACAAGACTCACCCCTGTTTTCAGGGACGAATCATACACTGGGTCAAGTCACATGATATCAATAATACCTGAGAATAAGCTAGCAAACATTTGTTGTCTGAACTGAGTGACGGGATAACAAACACGAAGCAATGTCAGTACTACGGCAGTGCTACTGAGGATATGGCAGTTTTTCTTGGTCTTTATATGTGGTGATTACAGAGAGAACTTTCTAATGTTTTGAAGACTTGGTTATTACATACTTTTTGTGAAAGGGTTATTTAAGTTAAGAGCTTTTCTAAACTTTGCCTCAACAAGAAACCGAGCATTTTGTTTTCTCATTTTGCTGTGGCGTTTTGAATGTTAGCCTCTTTTTCAGCAGTTAAGGTTGTCACACAACAGGTCCTCGGGAGTGTTGCGTGACGACTCGAACAACACCCGCGAAACAGACTACGGGATCTGCTGGACTTGTATTGGAATGCAAGCTGGCTCTGAAGCTGGTTGTACATAGAAATAAATCAAGTTCTATACGGAGAACTTATGGGTCTCTTGAACTTTTTTGTCCTTGAGTTTGGTCTCCCTTAGGTCCTTAAGAAAACTGAAGCCATGCATATGAGCCATTGCTGAAAGCTACTCGTTTTGTTGAGTCCTCATTGGAAGATTTCGAGGAGTCTTTTGAGTCGTGTTAGTAGACTTGAGTACTGAAACAGCTGCTGTTGTTGACATTGTATAGCAGCTGTGTTATTTTCACAACTAACTGGGAACATTGTCAGGGGGTGCTGTAAGATTGCAACATTGTTCCAAGATTTAGCCTTGTGTAGTTTTAGTTACCGCGCAGCAACATGAACAACTAATACTTGACTCTTGAAAAAGGGGTAGTTGGGGGGGNGGCGGGAGTGATCTTGAAAAAATATATCCTGGAAGTACACTTGCTCCAAAAAATACCACTGCCAAAAAAAAAGACATTCACGTAAGTTCAGTGAGCCGGCAAAAGCATGTTACACAGAGAAAAAAATATCATGCATGGACACGACAAAAAAATACCACTGCCAAAACACACATTCACGTCTTTCCTAGTACATGAAAGGGTCACGACAAAGTTATGCCTACATCAAATCACCCACCGACACCCTCTCAAAAGTCAAATGGGCCACCCCTGAGTGGACTTGGCTAATGGTTTCCGAAATCCCGGATATCAGCTTATCTGAACTACTTATCAGCAGCAGCTTTCGGCTTCGACTGATAACCTCTACCTCGACCTTGATTATTCTGGATATCGCAAAACCTCATCCAATAATTGTTTATAATTGGCTTTTGCGGATTTTGCCTAAGGGACCGTTCATTTTTTATCAGGTAGGGGGGGTTGGTGGGATTTGGGGGGGGGGCCATGCGAAAAAAAAAGGCTTTCGAGGGGGGGCCATCCCAAAAAA